TCCTCTTTTTAAGGATATCACGCAGAGGAACCTCGAGCATAGCCTTCCACATAGCTCGCTAAGCGACCATCCTCTCACGGCCAGTAGTAAAGGCCATACACACTGGCTATACCATGTTATTTTGAAGTGTTGATGTAAACTTGACGAGCTGTATCGTAATCTCTCATTAAATCAATATGCTATATGCTTTTTTTTTTAAATGCTATATGCTAATATTAAAGAAACAACAAATTTCTATTAATTTTCCTGAAATGCTTCCTGCGCTTTTCATTTAAAACGATTGATCTTAACCATGAACATTTGCGCGCTATGAAATAACCGAACAATTGCGTTTACAACGGTTGCAATGAGCATAACAGTTCTCGGCTCCATCACGCTCAACAATTTTCAGGTTGTTTGCTGAATTCAAAAGGGGTAAAATTAAACTTAAAAATGACCAAAGAACCGGGGCCCCGCAAACAGCAGTAACGGCAGAAAATGTATAAACTACTGAAATGTTGGTGCGAGAAGACCCACGAACCACATATACGGACATCGAAAAAATTCTAGGCATTAGTTCGACGAGCATTCATACCATCCCACATCAACATCTTGGAGTGAGGAAGCTTTGTCGATGGATAGATGCGATAGCGAAAAACAGACTCGTGTAGATTGGTGCCATGAAATGCGTCTACGTTTTGAAAACAGAGCATCTAGGCATATTTCAGAAATTGTTACTGGTGACGTGACATGGAAATCCGGAAAATAAAGGGCAATCATCGGTATGGGTCTACTCAGAAGGACAGTTACCGACAAAACTGCAAAGACTTCGCAACTAAAAAAAATTGGTGGCTAGTTTTTTTCGCGGAGCGGACATTTGTCGACATCAATGCTGGAAAATTGTAGTTCAGTCAACTCTGAATGGTATACTACAGTTGCATTACCCAAAGTTTTTCAAGCTGTGCGGGAAAGAAGACCAAAGACCAAGCTTCGGGGAATCATGCTACATCACGATAACGCCTCTTCACATACCTCCCTTAGAATAGAATAGAATAGAATATTTTTTATTCAATATACATTACATGTGTAATACTTATTGAAAGTCATTTTTTACTTTACCACTGGTTCGAAAAAAACCCTCTGTCCTGGGAAGAACCAGGAAGAAACCCAGCGGGACTTTATTTTTAAATAAATTTTACTTTTTATTGATTACAAAATTTATTTTAGAAACTGCTTGGAAGCGACCACCTCATTCCCAGGGGTTATTATCAACCATGTATTCATTTATACTATAATAACCCTTTTTATACAGTTTCAGCTTAATAAAACATTTAAACTTGGTAATAGGGAGAACCTGTATACTTTCCGGGACCTTATAATAATAGCGTATACATTGCCCCAAGAATGAATTACTGACTCTGTGGAGTCGAGAAACTGGCATCACTAGCTTGTGTTTGTTCCTAGTGTTTACAGAATGTATATAACTTTTTTTACTAAAACTATCTTCGTTTTTGTGAACATATGAACATACATTAAATTTTCGTAAATATACTGAGAGGCCAAAGTTAAAATATTAATTTCTTTAAATTTATCTCTAAGAGACTCTCTCGGTTTTAGATTGTAAATAGCTCTAAGGGCCCTCTTCTGTAAAACAAAAATAGTTTCTGAATCAGCCGCATTTCTCCATAGCAAAATCCCATAAGACATTATGCTATGGAAATAACTAAAATAAACTAATCTAGCTGTCTCGACACTAGTGAGACCTCTAATCTTTTTTACAGCATAGGCTGCAGAACTTAGTCTGCTTGCTAATTTGGATATATGGGGGCCCCACTGGAGCTTTGCGTCAAGAGTGATGCCAAGAAAAACAGTGGATACAACAGAGCTCAATTCCTCCCAATTTAAAAATACATTAGTATTCAGATTTTTAACATTCGTTGTTGTAAATTTAACACAATTAGTTTTATTTCCGTTCAAATGCAGATTATTAACGTTAAACCAATGCACTAATTTTGATATAGTATTATTCACTTCGTCACATTTAAATGATTGACGTTTAAGTTTAAAAATCAAGGAAGTATCATCAGCAAATAATACTATATCATGACTATCCCCTACAAGGTGAGGTAAGTCATTAATATACACCAGAAATAGGAATGGGCCGAGAATCAAGCCCTGAGGAATACCCATTAGTACAGGTGACCCGGAAGAACTTTTACCATTGATAATAACCTTCTGTTTTCTATTACTTAAATATGACATAATAAGTTTAAGCGCTGAGTTCTTGACACCATAGTACTGTAGCTTCCTGAATAATGTCTCATGGTGAACACAGTCGAAGGCCTTGTAAAGGTCACAAAATATACCCAAAGCATCCTCTGAATTCTCCTATGCACAAAAAATATGTTTAATAAGCTCAACTCCAGCGTCAGTTGTCGAGCGACCCCTTGTAAAACCGAATTGATTTTTATGTAGCAATTTATTAATATTAAAGAAACTTAACATCTGATCTAAAATAATTTTTTCAAAAATTTTACTAATTGTTGGTAGTACAGAAATTAGTCTAAAATTAGCGGGGTCTAATGTACTACCAGATTTAAATATAGGTATGACTTTACTATATTTCATTAAATTAGGAAACACACCAGATTCGACGATTATATTAAATATAGTGGCTAGATAAGGTGCTAACATATCTATTATAGATAAAATAACTTTAACGGAAATCCCCCATAAGTCTGCCGTTTTCTTAACATCTTCATAACATCTTAGAACAAAAGCATTTATTAAGGAATCAGGTGTTATATATAACTCTAAGTCACCCACCCTACAGTTCTGACTTAGCTCCTTATGATTTCTTTTCATTCCCAACATTCAAAGAAAAAATAAAAGTATAATAAGTTTTTTTCAAGCGACGAAGAAGTCGTGACTGCCTACGAAAAAGAAATTTCCGACCTGTCAGATAAAGACTGGCAAGTGTTTTCAGAGTAGGTTTAGGCGAATGGAAGTTTGTATTGAGCATGATGAAGAATATTTAAAAAATGTTAAATATTAAAAAATGTAAAAATATTAATAGTATCTGGAATACTTTTTTGTATATCTCAAAACTTATTGAGTGACCTACGTACTACGCGGCTGCTTAGTGGTATGGTATTGTTATAATGAAGGTTATTGGTCTGAAGCTTCAACCACTATATTAGCAGATTGTGCACGAAAATCTATGCCTATTTAATTTCTGTCAGAGATATTATAGTCTCTGATTTAATGGCTCAAAAAGCATGCCCTAAAGTGTCAATGATATTTTAATATATTCGACTTATTAAGATACGAAAAGCGTAAGCAGGCTGGTGCAACTTCCACAGTAAAAATTATATGTACTACAGGGGTCAAATTTTAATGACGGTTATCTCTTCTTTCTGCTTTTCGTAACATGTCTATTAACGACATTGTCAAATGAAATAGGTTCAAATGTCAAATCAAACAATTATATTTGTATATATTTTATTAATTAAGATTGCTTTTAATTTTGCTATAGGAGCCGTTGTTCATTTACAGAATTGTTAAGAAATTAAATATGCATTATAAAACTTTCCAATTAAATGGTGCAAGAAGCGGAAAAAATGATAACAAGAAAAGTCTTTTCGTAGCAATATGTCCCTTAGATTATGAAAGGTATGTGGTGATTTCAATTTTAATAGTAATATGATATTTAACGCGAGTACATTTTTGGACTAGCCATCTATGTAGGACAGGTTTTTATAGTGTACGATTGTGTGCACAAATATAAACACACTATTTCCTAAATCTGATAGTTTGATGGTATGGCAATCCGAAACGAACTATACTTAGAAACTACACAGTCAATTCTGACTGCTAACATTCTGTTTGATCAATAAAAATGTGATTTTGTTTATATTATTTTTTCAGGTGCAAGCAATGGGTGAAATAGCTGGCACATGCACCAATTGAAAAGATTTACATGTTAAGACATATTTGTGTCAAAAATTGCATTTGAGCCCAACTAAAACGAACTGTTATTTCTTCAGTGGACTTAATTTAAACTTCCACAATTATGTGTATGTTAATTAAGTTTCGTTTACATGTAGCAAAAGATAATATACCTCTAAAGTCAAATAAACTCAAAAATATTTAAAATTATCTGGTTATAAATATGTGTTTTATAGATTCATCTACAAACATTAGCTATAATGAGCACTCATTTTGAAAGGGACAATTAGTAAACGATCTCTGCGAATAGTATGTACATAGACGTACCTCTGTGAAGAAGCCTAGCGATTTGTACATAGTATTTGTTACACATAAAAGTAATTTAATCCAATCAGTATTAAAAACCCAATATTTTTACCTTTAAAAAAACAAACGTTGAAAACAAGCATCCAGACGCAGACTATTTATGTTACAGCATAGCAACAATTGTTCAGTGAGGGAAGGAAGCCTCGGTCCTGCAATGCCGCAGCCAAATGCTTAGCCACTGCGCTACGGAGTCGTCATTTATTTTTTACTTAATTAATTACTAGTATAAAAGCGCGTTTTTTATTTTAAATTTTCTTTATACATGTTTTTGTACCTAATTGTAGAGATATAATTACATATTGCTTTGTGTAAAATACATTGATTTCTTATCCTCATCGGCATTTTTACTCAATCCACACGTTAAAAAATTTATTTCTCATAAATAATTCAGTATAGATATCTAACTTTTCTTATGTAAAAATATCGATAAACAATATATCGATAAAGGTTCTATCCATAAAATTATTCGAGGATAGACATTTACAGCACTATTGTAATTCGCCAATGTTGTTAGCACTGTTTCTCAAAACTAAATGTCAAATAATATCTTGATGTTGGTAGAGTAGCTTGGCGTAATTTCCTTGCATTTATTTTTACTATGGAAGTCCCGCCTCTTAAACGTAGTGATTATATTCTCTTTGAGCGTGTTTCCTATTTGACAGCCTTCAAAAACATTCATTTAAAAATCAGCCTGGAGGACTTTACAGTCACTTAGTTAAATTTTCCATACTAAAAATTAAAAACATTGTACTTACGAGCAGCATATCCCAGATTTCCCTTCGGTGTTTCACATCAAGCCCGGATGTAGGATCGTCCAGCAGCAGTACACTTGGATTCCCGCAAAGCGCGCAGCCAATTTGCAACCGCCGCAATGTGGCTTGAGGCAACTTAGACGTAGTCAATGACGCCTCTTTAGATAAGTTCAACTGATTCATTAGTTTTTGAGCTGATTTTTTTGCTTTTTTTAAATTATTACCTCTGATCTGCATCAAAAACGTAATTTTACAAAGTGATTTTTGAGGTTATGCATAAGGTTTTATTTTTTTCAAAGTTGCTACATTTCTTCCATTCGCAGTAAGTCTTCGATAAGGTACAGTTAATTTTAAATATTAGTATGACTTTTGCTTCTTTATACATTCTTATGATAAAAGAAGACGCAAGTGCGTATTATCTTATCTAATAATTATTAAGTAAGTAATTGCCTGCCGTCTTTCACAACGCTAGGTCCTTACTATGTGCATCGGTTAACCAGCCAGTAAGTTATGAAGAAATAAATAAATTTAATAAAAAATGAATTGAATTATTATTATTATAAGTTGGCATTTGGAGATATAAAAGTAAAACAAATATTTTGTTAATTTTCTGTCTGTTTTTTAAGAGTTAGTTTAACTAAATAGACAAAAGAAGTCATTATCTCCAATGCATGGCGTTACAACTACATACGGGATATATAGCAATATCATCACCATTTTGTCTGCATGCATTTGTAACGACCAATAATTCGTGCTACGGGAAAGACCTTTGTCTAGCAGCGAATTTTTCCAACCAAAAAAATAATGTACATGCAATCTAAATACACAATATTTTTGTCAATATTTACCATAGAGAAGAACATCAAATGTTCTTGTACTGTCAAATCATTTATAAGGAGGTTATGTTGAGGGCACAGTCCAATTCTTCTTCTTAACTTTGCCTGTTGTAAAACTGTGTCAAAACCTTCGACGTAGACTTTGCCAGAAGATTGCTTTAACATTCCTAAAAACAAAATTAATAGACCTGTTAGTATACCGCATTAAAAACTAAATTAGTCTAGAAATTAAAAAAAAATAGACAAACTACATTCACACATTCTCAAGGTGATGAGCACAAAGCCACACAGTTATCCAAGTTGCTAGCTCGGTGTCAAGTTTTTCAAAGTAAAGCTGCTTGATTGTGAATCTCTTTATCCGAAACGCATAGCCATTTTAATTACAATGCCTTTTGTATCTAACAATTCGCTAATTATTTCAGTGAACCTACATTAATTAAAGTAATTTATCCATTAAACTAAAACAATCTAGGCAGACTATGTCGCAAGGCCAGTCGCATTTTTTAAAAGAAGTCAATATACATTCTATGTTTTAGCTTCTACAACTGCATGTGACGGCGTCGTGTTCAATTTATGTATATATATATTATATGAACACTGATAAAAGTGACATCTAAAGTATCATCACATGCTATTCAATGATTCTAAATAATTATGATAGTGCCCAATCATTAAAACAAGAATATTTCTTGAATTTTATCAATTATTGAATGTTGCACTATCCCTACAGTCCATCTAGTCAACAGGACTCGTCTATTACCACAAAATATTTATGAGGCATCTGCATGCATCGTAATGTGTGGTTTACGTAAAATTAAACAATTGGTATATATTTTGAATAAATAGTTTAACCGATTAGAAAACATCGACAAGCCGTTCAAGACAATGAAAAAAATAAGTAATAGAGTAAAGTAATAAATAATTTTAAGTTTTAATTGTGAGTAATAACACTATTAAAACCTGCAATAATAGATAAAAGAGTTGTTTTTCCTGCTCCATTGTGTCCTATAAGTACAGTGATCTCGCCTTTGTAAAATCTTATGGAAACTTTGTCTAAGGCAACGATATTTTTGCGGGCGTTCTTGAAAACCTGCAATAAATAAGTAATATCGCTAAACTTTTCTTCTGTACTTACTTCTTTCTTAGAATTTATTCCTGTAGTGTTATGTGACATTTGAGAGACACTGACAAAAATACTAGATAACGTTACTAATATTTACGGGAAGTTTTCAATCTTGACAATTTTATTTATTCACGAATCTATCTATGACTTTTCTTAATTTTAATTGAAATACTAGTAGACTGAGCGAGATCATAACGTATCTTTAGCACCTTAAAAACGACAAGTCTTCAGTGCCAATGCGAGTTTCAGCCGAGATTCTGAGAGCAGGTGAAATATTTGTAACCGGTACCCACTGAAAGTCCTTAAGAAACTCTTCTATTCTAAGAATCTTTATCCATAGTGGTACTACTACGAAAACATGGAGCAGAAGTGCGATGGTCTTGTGTTTTAAGGTAGGTGATAACGCTCTATTGACGAATAACAGAACGATTCCTTTAGTCAGCCACGTCTACTTGCTGTTTCGTTACTTTCAAACCTTCTCAAACGCGTTTGTGACGACCACCAGGCGCCCAAAAAGTCAGTTTCCAAAAAGGCGGCTACGTATCTCCTGATTTGTTATCATCCATCATGTTGTACGTTTTTCACGGGACAATATAGGGTCTAGTTTTCCTTACTGCGCTTTTACACTATATTAAATTGTGTTGTTATATATAATATGTGAAATTAATTTAGTTTAGTGACATCCATCTATTTTAATTTGATGAAAATTTACCTTTTTCACATTAATAACAGTTACTGCCACTTTTAAATCATCTGGAGAGTTTACAAAATATTTTTCATAGGACGGGTCGTAACTTCTATTGCTGTCAATATTACCCCTTGTAATATAGGCACGGCTCATCCAATATTTTTTCTGAAAGGGTAACATTTATTTTCATATTATTTAGGTAAAGTAAAAAATATTTTATTATGTTTTGCCGTTTCCGAGAGAAAAGAGAATGTTGTCAACCCCTAAAAATTTCAATTTTTCAAAATATTCAGAAACGAAGCTGCATGCATGAACTACTCGCAAAATAATGAATATTTTGGTCTGGATAAATTTTCCAAAAAAAGCAATTTGAGCGAGTTATAACGATTTAAAAAAAAGACAGGACTCGCGTGTCATACGCCACACACAAAAGTAATCAATGGCACGCCTGGCGTGTCACCCGCACTGTACCGGTTAATATTACAGACACTAACTGTTATTTTCTTGTTACATTTAAAATAAACACTTTCCAGAAGTAAAAAGAAAATCGTTGTCCGACGAACTGGAGGCCATGGTTTACCTGTTTCTTTTTACTGTGTTTGTTGCATAATATAATTATTGATAAAGAGGTTATTGAGAGAAACTTGATTCCTATAAATCTTGTATGGCAGACAAACGTCAGAAGTAATTTTGTTCAATATTTCAGACATAATCACTTGTTGTACAATACCTAATTATTATTAAAAACAAAATAAGCAAATAAATCTATAATAATTTTTTACTATAGGTACATTTCTGTTGCTATGGAACTTATCTTTTGTTCCATAAAGGTTGTTTGTCAAATATCAAGGCTATCAAACTTCGTTATCCCCATCCATTTTCATAAACATATACACCCTACACTGGCAAACGCTTAAACCCGTATGACTCGGTACAGGTAGTCGGTACCGACAAGTTTAAACCTGTTTCTTTATATGTGACCGCATAAGATAACATAGAAATATTATGCCTGCACCGATCGGTACCGACCAGTACAGATTTTTCTGTACCGGAAACCTGTATCTTTATGTAAGCACCCTAATACATGATGAATGGCTGCTTGCCATTTTTAAAACTAATTTGAACCATCTCGTTAATATTTAATGAAAAAATTGACATATATTTATTTCTTTGACGTAAGAAAATAAAAATAAATTTCGTTTGTAAAATATTCTTCTGCTCGGAGAAGAAATGGCAAAAAATTTTACAAGTATCACTTTTCTTGATATATCATACTTGGAAAGGAAAATTCCATGGTAATTGAACATAAAATAACATACTTGTAAAAGAAAATTCCATGGTAATTCCACACCATACTTTCCCGGCCTAATTTTCTTCAAAAACCAGAACAGTATTAAAAATAAGACGATCTGAATAAGTTGCATTGCGAAAGACGTCCTTACGGTTCCGTTTTTATTGCCGTATACTTCCTCATGCCACCAATTAAAGCTAGTTACCGACCAATTGTCAAAATATATGCCAAAATCTGCAAAATAATATTATCATAATCATTCATTACATAGAGCTTATCAAAAATCTGCTAATGAACATAAGAACCTCATAGGTAACTGTTGAATACAGTGACCAGGCTTGGCAAGCGGGTTGTTAACCTCAGTTTTATTAATGAGTCGTTGTAAGGAAATTGCTGCTGTCCATCTCCGGTGTAATTTCCCACAGGCGTTTTTTTTTATATAGGATAAGGGTAACAAACGAGCACACAGTCCACCTGATGGTAAGTGGTTGCTGTGGCCCATAGACATCTACATTTATCCTCGATGAGGAATGAAAATGCAGATGCGTTGTCACCTGTGAGGACTAAGATGAAAAGCCTCGTTTCCAGTAAAAAGGGTCTCCGGTTCTCTACACTCACCATACGAAACACAGCAGCATTAAGCTGCTGTTTTACGCTGGTATTCTGTGAGAGCGTGGTCCTTCCCCGGTCGAGCCGACCCATTCGTGCTACAACTATACTATTAATATAGCTGCAGCATGGCTCTACCACGTAAAATTTTTTGGTAATATAAAAATAAAAAAGGTCCTATGGCTAATCACGATAAAGTTATTTTTTTTTTTCGAAGTTATGAATTTTAAAAAGATTGAAAAATCCCTAATTCGGATAGTAATATTATTTAAATGTATATATACAATTTGTAAAGTGTTTTATACAATTCACTCCTAATATACGTTTTAGTTTTTTTTTTCTTTTTTAAGGCAATAAGCATAAAGTTATATATAAACCTACTGAAGAATTGAAATCGTTCTTTTGAATGTATAAAAAAAACTTATATTTTGTTATATAAATTTTATAGCTGTTATAGTGATTTTCTGATTATGTTCTGCATAAAATAAACATCATAATTCTAGAAATAGTAATAAAAAAAGAAAACTATGAATGGGTAAATTGGATGGATTATCGACGCAACTAATTAAACTTCTTTGTAAATTTAAAACTACGTAAAACTATTGTTTTCAGATATTACATACAGTTTACTTGTTTTCATATAAATAGTAACAACATATAGAGTCGTAACTTTATTTCCCCCTGTCGTTTCTAACGACGCCTACAGTATAATAGCGGCTGTGTGTCCTTTCTTACATAGCCACTATATAGCTTATTATTAGATTGTTTTTACTTTGTATCCATTCATCAATTCATTATAGCTCATAACATTTTTGTTCTGTATATATGCATCCCCACAGATTGCCTTTTAGCGATGATGGTAAGTGACTACTCTATGGCCCCTTAAAGACAATTTCAAACAAGCACACTACAGATGTATTTCTGATATTATACTCGCTCTGTTCAAACCGGAACATAGCAACGGATGAACCACTCTTGCTTCGCAAAAGCAATGTTTAAAAGAGTTGTGCCAATTCACACGGGCCCCTAGAAATATAAAAAAATAATTATTTTTTTTTGTTGTGGTAGGCTTCACTAGTTTTATATGACTTTATTAATTTACTTACGTCCTTTTTCCGATATACATATTTCCCTAGCAAACCAAAAAAACGGCATGTAAGGTATAAAGCCATTTAAGGAGGTAACAAAGAGATTGTAGCGCAAAACAACATGACAAGAAATCCATGAAGCGAAGTAAATAAATGATGAAAACGACAACGTGTGTACATCTGTAAAATGAAATTAATGAAGTCGCCATTAAAAATTTAAATAAACCCCGGAGTTACGACTATAAAGTACATTGTTCTAAACCAACAAATTCTAAAAACCATAGAGTTTGTTATCCTAAACTAAGCCTTGCTGGAGTGAAACACTAGAGGGAGTTAAATAAAAAAAATGTTAATTTTTAATCTGGAGGCAGCCGTGGTTAACTATGACATTGGGACGTTATACACCTCAGTCCCCCCCCCCCCCCCACCGTGACCATGGCTGCTGTAAAGTACTCGAAACATCGGGAATATAAAATAAGTTAATATACGCGATAAAATCCGTAAAACTATTTTTTATTTAAATGTGTAGTGTACAGGTAATCATTACTTGAGGAAGTGTTTTTGTAATGATCTTTCTAATATTCAGAAAAATTTAACACTTCTGGGACCACCTCGGTGTCTGTCGCAGTGGCTCTAGCTTGGTCATGCAGCTTTTCATCAGTCATGAAATTTTAAATCGAGTCAATGACTTCTATCTACATGCGCGAATAATATATTTCTTCTAAAAAGAGTCCCCTGACGAGAGTGTTTGACTATTTTTGCCAAACTGTTTCAAGTTTAAACAGGCTGCCGATACAAAATATTATAATATAAGATTTTTATACAAATTGCTTATTGTAGTTCATTCATTCATTCATTACAGCCTATAAAAGTCCACTAGACGATTGCAGTTTTATATTATTTTTGAGCTGTTATTAGAAAGATCCTTCTGCCTATCTCCTATCGCCCGACCAGAGACTCAAACCCGGAAACGCAGGATCAAAGGTCGCACTTATGACCACTAGACCAACGAGAGAGTCTAGGCGGTAGGAATACTTTTCTGCTCAGGAATCCGTCAGAGTACTTGGATACCACTCTCTAGTATATAGAGCTAGTATAACTACAGACCGTAAGGCATTCCATGTTAGTCCTGAGTGAGCTGTTCTTAGTTTGGCTGCAGTAGCCGCATAGGTTGAATGTAAGCTCATTTTTACTTTAGTTTATATGAAAAAAAAAAACTCTCTTGGAAACGATATGTAATATAGTTTAAATCAGTTTAAGTTTATATCAGTGACAGTCTAAGAAGGATATTTTTGGACGATATTTCTCACCTGTCTTGAAAATGTAACTGCATGGGAAAGCCATTGCTATAATATTCATAAAATGCAGAAACAGGGCAATAAATATGATATAGCTATTAGATCTTGCTTTTAATTCACTTAGTTTAAAAGTCAAAGCGCCGCCTATGCTATACAGTAGGCAGGCCGGCAATGAATTAAGGATTTCAGTTATTACAAGCATCGTAGGTGACACTCCTGCCATTTCAGTTAGCCTCTGAAAAACAAGTTTAAAGAAAATAACGCATGAAGTAATAGTATCATAAAATGGCACCATTGTCTTTTTTATAAAATAAGGGGGACATATCAACTTACAGTTCAGATTATTTTAAATGACTACTGAGTTACAATATAGTATATTATGATTAATAAAAATTGGCAGTTTGTCGAGGGAAGTGAAAATAGTTATAATTAAAAAAAAACATTGTTTAACTTTATATTTATAAAATGTAGTTGTATATTAACGTATCCTTATAAGTGTTATAAAAATAACAATAAAATAGCAACTAAGCAACGAACTCTATACCAGTATTTAGAGTTCGTTGCAATCAAGTAAACCACCACTGCTGGAGAAAGGCATCATTAAGTTTTTGGTAATTATTAGTCCTCGAACGGTTTTTTTAATCCTTATAATTTTTGACAACCGCATCTCCTAATAAGATAAATTATATCACTTTCTATCGACATATTTTTCCTTATAAGATAACTTGAAATTATTTAACTTATTAGAAAAAATATGTCGAGGATTGCAAATTTGGAATCCAGATTGGTATTTATATTTGTGGAATAAAACAGTGCTCTGCGGTAATTCAAGGATTAGAGGCCCATGGACTTCTGCAATCAACTTTA